CTTATCACCAGTAAAAATCACTGCCAGATCAGCCAGAGCTGCAGAGAGGGCAGGGAGAGGAAAACTACTGACATGGAAAAAACCCAGCTCGCTGCAGCCAGCAAAGTGGGAGCTGCCTCACCATCACCAGGCACTGCTGCGGACAGCTGGGTACTTAGGTGGTACCCACGTCTCCCTGTGTGCTCTGTAACACACCGTGTACGATGGAGATACGTGTAAGAGAGGACTCAGCGGGTGGTTGGAAGTAGGTTTTCACTGGGCAGGATGTGGCACAGCAAAGCCCCAGTGCATCCCAGTCTCTGTGCTGCAGAGGAAGGTTTAAAGCTCCCTTCAAACACAGATCCCAGCACTGCCCAGCCTATATTTCAGGCTCATGGCCCCACTGTCCCCAGGTCCCTGCCAGGAAGGGACACCGGCCCTGTGGCCCCCACAACCCCCCCGGCCCCATGGCTCCTTGCTCTGCAGCACAGGGATTCACACGGTGATAGCGGTTTGAATTGACTGCTTGATGGGTGATGTCACCGGAATCACAGAGAGGAAAAGGCCAAATAAGGCAGCAATTCAGTGAAAATATGCCCTAAAATGGGAGTTTGACTGGTGATTAGCAAGCGCAAAACACAGACATGAAATGGCCATGTTGAGAGCTCGGGAGCCCCGCGCAGCCTCACACACTGGAAGTAAACCCACCAGGACCTGGAAAGATGAGAGGAAAAAGCAGCCTGATTCAGAGCAGTTTTCTCCACAAAGGCAGGCTGTGTCAGGAGGTCAGTCTGTGAAGAACCTCAGTGCTAAGATAGATGGACAGATCAATGCTGTGAGAATTTCTTTTTTCCCTGGGCAGATACTGGTTTTGGAACAGTTTCTTCAGTATGCCTTCGTTTTCTCAGTGTAAAGAGATGAACCTGCTCTAGCAGATGGAGGAAACATTATTTTATGGGTGCTAGAAGCAAAAACACATGATGAGGCTAAACTGAGTTGAGGAAGGGGGGAAGCTCCTTCCCCCCTGTCCCACACTGCTGCCTGCAGCTCCTGGGATTGAAGCAGGCACTGGGGGCCCTACGGGTGGCTTTGGTGCATCCCTCTGGTCTGGAGGAGGTGTTTGAGCTATCCCAGTGAGCTCAGGACCCTGGAGGAGGACAGAGCTGTGGAAGGGGACTGCAGGGAGTGAGTCAGCACAGGGAGCCCAACCAAACCCACCAGGAATCCATTCTCCTCCTGTCTTCAGCGATGCTGCACTTCCCTGACACCAAGAACAGGAGATCACGAGCTGAAAGCACAGCCACTGTGAACAATTTATCATGTTTATTGCATTAAATTGCACTTGGGGGCTGTTTTGTCAAAGGACTGAACTTGTTTTATAAACCCTTAAAGACCCAGGGACTATGGAGGGGGGCAGTGGGAAAATTTAGGCTCACCTGGCAGAGTTTGCTCTTTTAGTCACAGACAGGGCATCCACTAACAAGTTAATCAGACACATGCTGCAGCAACCAAAGTAACAGCCAATTTAAGCAAACCCACAGTTGTGCTCGAGCTGCAGCCTGCCTTTGTGGTGTCTGTAACCCCAGGCAGCTGCACAGGCACACAGGGTGGGGGGGCCCAGGAGGATGCTGGATGACTCCCTAGGCAGCAAGTCCATAAAGAGAAATTAAGGAGCTAGGCAAGGCCCCCAGGCATCCCTAGTTATGGTGCTGGGGAGCATGAGAGGAGGAGATGGCAGAAAACTTCCCTTCCAACCCAAACCATTCAATGATTCTATGAAAATGGCCATGCTCATCTGCCGTCCCCAAAGAGCATCTCTGACAGTGAAGCCAACCCAGGGTGCCTCTGCTCTCACACAGCAGCACCTTACAAAGCTTTGCTTTCTTTAAAGCACGGGATAAGGATTTGAACATCATCACGTTTCTTGCCTTGTTCCCATGCAGCATTAATAATAAAATTAGTAGTGCAGTTATTAATAACAGCAATGACCCGGGTGCTCTGCTAGTGTAGACGCTGGAGCACAGGCTGGCAGGCAGAGCAGGAGGGCAGAACTCTGCTTCCCTTTGCCCTGGCAGAGGCCAGCCATCTCCCCAGGAATTTTATAGTTTCCTGTGGAAGAGGTCCCACTCATTCATCAGGCATTGAAACGTATATCCAGGCCAAGTATGTATTTATTTTTGATCTAAATATAGTTGAAGTTCTATTAAAAACACGCCAGGAATGGCAGGGCTCCCACCCCAAAACTGTCACAGAGGGAGCCGGCACTGGCTTCTGGTGTCAGTCCCTTGTTCCCACACATGCCTTCATCCAGGGATGCTCATCCTGCCTTGTCTGGGTAACGGTTTAGCACAGGGATTGCAGCCCAGCAAGTGAGTGCAGGAAGGGCTGATGGCCCCCCTCTGGCTGCTCCCACTATCCCTCCCAACCCCACCATTCCCAGGTAAGATGCGTGGCCACAGCATTTCCAAGCATGGGAACAGAGGCAGGCTTGAGCATCTAGCAGAATCCAGAGCTCTCAAGCACTCCCGTGGTGAATGCCTCTTGCGTTTTCCCTGGCAGCAGATGCAGAGAGGATAAACTTTATCTCGTGCTTCAAGAATGACTCGATGAGAGTGAAGAGGGGTTTGTATTTGTTTCTGAACAACCACTAGCAACTGCTCAGTCCAAAAGGAATCCAGCCTGATGATTATTAAGCTATTTGGATTGCTTCTAAAGCTTATGCAAACTGTCTGGTCCCTCCCTGTTGGTGGCTCGGAAGAAAACCACCCTTCTTCCTTCCCTTTTTGCCCGGATGGTGTTGTGTGGTCTTCTCAAACAGCAAGGTTCCCTCAGGTACCCTCTACAGAAGACACGACTGTACCTGCAGAGTGGCTGGTAGTTGCATCTTGATGCTCCCACAGGGATTCAGCCTGGCTGCTGATTCTGCTCATCCCAGCCTCTGAGCCTGAAACACCCCTGCACCTCCCTCCTCACCAGCCAGCCCTAACTCCCTGCCTTGTGGAAGCCATCTCCAGCTCTTTCTGTGCTCTCTGTTGTTGTCGTTCTCTACAATTTACCTTCTGTGTATGCACCAAATCATACCCATTTCTATGCTGATGCGCAGCAGTTCAGGTCTCCCTGCTGATTTGTTGCCCAGCTTCAAGCTGAATGGGCTCAGCTCTCACCCAGGCTTAGTTTTTCACACAAGACAAAACTAAGCCCTGCCTGTGGTTGCAGAGACTACAGTGAAGTTCCTGCATGTAGACAGTGTGAGCTCTTCATGACCATAGTGATGGTTCCTGCAGCTATTTCCAGGGGATCCCAGCACTGGAGCTTGCTGCTCAGTACTGCACAGGCCACCCAGCCTGATGGGCTGTAGGATCAGCTCATCCAGTCATTTGTCAGCCTTACGCAGGTCAAGGACTTGTTTAACCCAAGTAAAGCCAGGCTAAAACTGCATTAGATTGACCTGCTGAAAGCAATCTGTCACTACCAGGCAGGCAGGCTACTTGATTAATGTGCCCCCATGGGCTGCTCCACTAAGCCTGGCTATAGAAAATGCATATATATCTATATGTAAGTACACAGCACATATGGGAAGGAACAACTTTGCATGTGCATCCTGCAGTGGTGTCTAGGGAAACCTGCTGTCACCTCCTTTGTGCTCTCAAAGCTCTGAAGGGAAGGTTTGCCAAAAAAAAAAAGTGACATCCTTGTGGATTTTTACAACTGAACAAAGTTTTGCTAGGAAAAATGTAGGTGGTGTTTTTTTCTTTTCTGGGGCATGCTTGTATGGGCATGCAAAGGTAAGGAGTCAGTCCAGAATTAGCCATTAAAACCCCAAATGTTTCAGCATGGCTTAGTAAGGAGGCTATTAGCGCCTGCACTCCCTTTGCGGCAGAGCAGTGCTGGGGCTGATGGAGGAGCACATTGCTCTGTGCAGGGTGGCACTGGGGAGCATCACTCTGTGCCAGGACAGCAGCTGCTGCGTGTGTCTCTCCCCCACAACAAAATCAAGAAAGCTCAGATTAGCAGGAACAGGATGGGTTTGTTCATTTTAGAAATAGCATTAGAAAACACTTCCTTTACAAGTTAATTTTCAACTCACGTGATTAAAACTTGTCAGATGCTAAATGTCCTTTCCCAGTTGTTTTCTCTTTCCTCTCACCCCTCACAATCCCTATTAAAGCTGATGTATGGTGCTCTAAGTCTTAAAAGTTTCCCAGCCCCTCGAGCTGTTTCTCCCATTTGGATTTTTCTGTGATGACCTACAAACCCAGCTGGCACTCCAGTGACAAAGAGCACCAGGCTGCAGCCAGCACACCCCATTGGACACTGCAGTGTTGGGGGCTGCCCATACCACCCATGCAAAACCCCTGTGTAAGGCCTCAGACAGCACAAGAGCTATGTAAAAATTAAAAAAAATAAAAAAAAAAAGTCACCGGGGAGGAGAGGAGGGTTTTTTGATTTGGGTTTAAATATGAATGTTGGTGTCTTTCTGTTTGCTTGCACATTTCTGAAATTTGTAGGGTCTGTTTGCTTCCTCTCCTCAAGTTCTACACTGCAAACACTAGTGTTTGCACTTAAATTAAATTAGCCTGAAACCCAAAGCAAGCCAAAGTTCTCCTGCAAGCTTTTCTGGGATAAACACTGCCGGATTGGTGATAGAAAGAGAAAACAATGAGAACAGGGCGGAACTGCCACCTGCAGGCACTTGAGCCAATGACCCTTGTCTGGATGAGGCCCAGGAGTAGCCCCCAGGGCAAAGCTCATGCCCCCAACCCACAGGCACAGGGGTGACCCCTTGTCTTCTCCCCCCACAACCTCCTGATCTCCCCATCCCTGAAGCTGCCAAGGGCATCACACACAGCACATAACAGTAGGAGCCTGTTATTAGACGATGATTTTCATATTGGTACAGCCTCAGATGCTGGGTATTTTAAAATGGAATCCTTTAAAGTCTGACTTGCTAATTGGATAGATTTTTAAAAATACATCTTTATAGATTATATAGTAACTCAGGAAAATGGACAAATAAAATGGGCAAAGAAAGGACCAGCCATAAACTGCATAGCTGAACTGAAAATGTCGATACCCATCACCTTCATGATACAGCGTTGCAACAAGAAAGGAAAATATCCAAAGGGAGAAATCTTTACCCAGAGGCCTGATATGCACCCAGCAGGAGTCCTGGAGCTGGCCCCAGCTCGAGATACAAGGGGTTTGAAGGGAGAGGCATGATGGTTTTCTTCCCCTTCTCTGTTCTGTTGGCAGTCCCCTGTTGCAGACTCAAGCATGCCTGGGAGCAAGGTCCTGGAGCATCTCTGCTCCCTGAAGGGGTTTCACGAGGTAATCACTGCCAGAATCATGGTTTTCTCCCAGCACCAACTCTCAGATGATGGCACAGCTGCAGCAGCACCTCTCAGGGTAGTCCAGTGCATACACCTTGTTCTGGAGCCCATAGATCTAGTAGAGGTAAGGCTTCCCTGAATACTAGTAGTGAACTTCTGTGATGGAGATTAGCTCAATTGTTTGATGCTGGGAAAGGAAAACTTCAAATTAAATAAGCACTTTGGAGCAAGTGCTGTATCTTGCTTTAGACCGACACACGTAGTGTAGAAAAAAGCCCCAAGTTTTAGGCACCTCCACCAGTGATGGCTGCACCGTGTTGTGTTACTGCAGCAAAAATTGCTGCATATTTAACCTCTGCTGCTCTGCTCCCTTCCTGTCTGAGGGGGAAGGAAGATGCTTTCATCTCCATTTCTGTGGTAATTGTTATTCCCAGCTGAATCACAGGAGGCAGTGCTATGGTGGCACCTTGCCTTCTCATGGAGGGCCCTACTTTGCTCCTTCCTTGTGGTGCTCAGCAGCCATTCAGGTCTCCTGACCCACTCTGGCTCTCACCTCCTGCTGCAATTACAAGTGCAAAGCCTCAGTTTTAGATAAAGCTCAATGTCTGCTGGGCTCCAGCCCCTCTAACTCCAGAGGTTATCTATGATCCTGATATTTACCTCCAGCACACAGCCAACACCATAAGAAGCCAGAATAGCATCAGCCATGCAAAGAAGAGGAGATTTTACCCTCCTCCAGATTGCTCTAAGTGATGCTCATTGTTAAGCAGAACAACTTCAGCCAACGACAAGCAGAGGGGGTGAAAAATTCAATGAGGAAAGCGCCAGGAGAAGGCCTCCCGGATCAACATAAATACCACGTGGTGCATGGATGTGCCAGGGCAGGTTTTCAGCACCTGCTTGCCTATACAGTTAGGGGATGCTTTGGCTGGGATGCAGCAGCCTAGTGAGCAAACTGCCTTTGATGCTGAGAAGTGGAAATTATAGGCTGGAATTAAGTTGGAAGGCAGAAATTTGCCAAAGAGCTGGTTTTGACAGACCACATGGAAAATCAAACCATCTCCCTTTAAGTTTATTTTGGTCTTGAAATTTACTTGCATTTTTAATGTGAAACCTTCTCTTTCCTGTGGGTGAAAAGACAGTATGTTCTAGCTAAACTTTTGCATTTGCAATCACATTTATAATAGCAGCAGCAGACATTACGACACACTAGCGAGAATCAGATGGAGTGCAATCCTAATGTTTGTTCTAAAGTAGCTTCTAAGATAAAAATAGCAGCAATAAATAACGTTTGCCAGGGCTTTGGAAAGGTAAAAGGAACAGGAACAACATCAGTCACCTACATCCTTCAATTCCTAAGCATTTCAAAGAAACTATTTCCCTGGTATTTCACTTGATAACAAAGATCTCTTTGGTAATTATAATTTCTTTTTCATTTGCTAAGGATCACCTCTAAATGAAAGGAAATGAGTGACTATTCCCAACATCTTATTGTGTTTAACCAGCCTCTAATCCACCATGGCTAGCAGGGTGTGCAGCAGGCAGGGGAACATGCCAGCAGCTCCCCATTACCTGCTGGAGGATGCAGGAGGACGTGGCCAACGCTGCTCTGTGCTCTGCAATGACTCACTGCTAGGCCAGGGAGATCTCGGGTCCAGGGAAGTCAATGATGGGGTACACCAGCAAGAAATAAACCCAACAGGGCAGAAGAGAGACCTGTTTGAGAAATACATTCATTTCACCTGTTACAATGGAAGACCTGGGCTAATAATGGCAATATGTAGAATAAACACTAAGGTCAGAGTCACAAAGGCATGTCCATCCCACCCTTGCAGTGCAGAAGTGTCCAAAATAGTGCTGGCCTCTCCAGACAGAGGTTTATGCTGTCCATAGAACAGGACAGCGTGGGGAGAGGCTGCTGTTCCTAAGCTGGCAGGTTTGATTAAAAACTGGCATTGGGTGACTCTGTGCCCCATCAGGATTTGCTGTCACCTTCTTCCAGCAGCACAACACTGTTAAACCTGAAAGGCTTTTTAAAGCCTTTGTTTTCCCTCAGAATGTGGGCACTTTACAGACCTACCGGGCTTTTGGGGCAAAGCAGAACTAGTTACGAATGCAGTTACTTCTTGCATAGCCAGGAGTGATAGCTGTTTATGTGAGAGTCCCGCTGATTTTAATGCTCATAGGACTTCAGATCTAAAGCATTCATTGGAGTGCGACTCAGATTCTAAAGCATGATTCAAAACCCAAAGGGATTCTGCAACACCAGATGCAAAGTCTTCACTACAGATGCATGACATTGAGTAATAGCTCTCTGGGGGAGAGCTGGTTTGTGCTTGGATGCTGCCTATCTCCCAGGCCTGGTACGTGACTAAAGTTTCTACAGGTTACTGAAAAACAGCTAATAAATAATAAAAAGGCACAGTTAAACCCTCACTCACTCGCATTTGCATTAAAAAAGGAAACTCAGGCTGAGGACTGAGCAGTACAGAAATGTCATTGGCTGTGAGAGAACACCATGCTTCAGACGGTTTTGGACTGTTTTGCCCCAGAATTTTGCAGGTTTATAGGGGCAGATTCCCTCCAGGAGCCCTGTACCACAGGAGCTGGAGGACAAGAGATGTCAGCATTGATGAACATCTTGCTTAAGGGCTCTGCACTGCAGGTACCCACAGCAGCCCAGTGAGCAGCCCTGGCCAGAACAGCAACTCTGTGCTGGATCCTGACTCCTACCTTGGAGATGAGCTCCTGGTTTGCTTGTTGATGGCAGTGCCATGCAGGCACTCTGTCAGGGGGCAGGAGCTGCTGTCCCATGCTGTCTCCCTACAAAGCCTGCAGCCAATAGCACTGACACTACTGTGCAAGCAGTGGGAAATGCACAAGGGGCAACAGAAAAATCCCAAGGGATGGATGTGCTATTGGATGTCTCCTGCTATTACTGGAGAGATGAAGATGACTACTGAGAGAGCTCTGCTACTCTGGCAATGGCCACCAAAAGCAACCTGTGGCGACTGAGCACCAACTGCTGCAGCACTGGTTGGTCACGTTTTGTCAGACCGAAAACCCAACAACTCTCAGTTCCTCAGGGAAAACTAAGGATGCTCTGCACTACCAAGGGGCAGTGGCCCATTGCTGTGTCCATAGCAGCTGCTGGTCACCATGAGAAGCCATTTAACATTCCCCTTTTTCACAGCCACTCAGAAGGGATCCCCTCTGGCCTGGGAGTAGCATTCATCATCACATTTTCATCTTTACATATACTCTCTCTACTGACTTTGCTGAGCAGCTCTCCTGGGAAGTTCAGATGATGCTCAGAAACAAATTCAAAGACATTGCTCTTCCTGCAAGAGAAAGGGAAAACAACCAATCTGAGACTGGTTGTAGGGCCCTGAGCTATCTCCAGGCTCTTTCTAAATGCCCAGTTAATGCTTGAATGCTCCCAAGGACAACAGTCATGCCTGCCTAACCTTTGTGCTCTCCCTTATTAGCTTCTTAATCACTGTGTGTATGCAACAATCATGGATGACTCCTCATAAATAACCCTGAAATCAGACCTTCATGGTGATCACCTTCCCCTACAGCTTTTGGTGTCTCCTATGTCCATTAACTCCTTGCGGCAGACAAGGTTTTTTCTTCTCTTTCCAAAGCCACAGCTCCTACAGCAGGGAACCATCTTGCTCTACTACCCATAGGACACTGGCATGGATAGCGGCTGGTGATGGCCTCCAAAGGAGCTGGAGGTGTCATCTGGTAGACCTGTGCTTGTCTGGGATCATGTAGCCGCAGGGCCGTGCATCCCCCAGGAGTCCCACCAGTGAGATGGGCATGGCTGGGACAATTTTCAATCTCCCAGGATGGACAGAGATGGTGTTTGAAAAACGAAGGTGCTCACGCAGGGAAATTGAAGACATGTAGTACAAAATGGGAAAGTACTCAGGAAGCACTCAACAGGGCAGGTAACGGGCTTTTTGCTAAACCTCACAAACTAAGATCTTTTTCAGCCCTATCTGTTATCTCTGGCACTACAGCTCCCAAATGGGAAATGCCAGAGCAACACCACAGCCAGCGGCAGTGGGTCACCAATGCCCTAGAACATTGCCCCAGCTTTGAGTCTGGGCTGCATCAGCTCGTACCAAGCTCAGTTCCATTTCTGAGTTCTTGTGTGCCCTTGGAACACCCTTCACTTCTGTGAAGTCGCTTCAGCCCCTACGATGCCCCACAGGCAAGGCTGCCATCACTAAGGCCTAAAGCTGCCCCTCTAAGCCCTTGTTTCTGCCTGACCAAAGGCAATACTCTCCCAGCTTCTCCTCAGGGAGCTCAGCTGAGCTCCCAAACCTTGTAGTAGAATAAGGAATAAAAGTAACAGCTCTGAACCCATGCTGCTCACCAGGTTATCACCAGCTGCTTGAAATGCTGCAGCTTTTTCTCTCCCTGACAGGTCACACAGGTCTTGCTGCCCCAACCAGAACAGGTATTGCACCTTTGAATGCAACAAAATGGGGTTTAAACAGGATGCAAACACTGTCCATTTTGAGTCCTGTGGACCCAGGAGTGATTTATTTCAGAGTGTTTGTATAGCTCAGTAGCTACAGAAGTCAATAATAGCACATGCACCACGCGTACATCCCCCCCGGTCTGTGACTCATGGGATGCAACATATTTGCTGGGAAAAAGAAATGACTAATTCCAACCTCAAATCTATTTGTAAATGCGGAATTAGTCAAAGAATGCATTTGTACATCTAATTAGGGATAATCACAATTTCCCCACACAACGGTAGGAAGGCGAGTGTCACTTGGAAGATGCCACTGCATGTGCTTCTAACAGATGCAGGAGGCATATGCTTATGCATGGAGCATTTTGATTGCATCAGTGCAGCACAGATTAGCAGCAGTTAACAACTGATTCATTAAGGCTCTTCAAGCCATCATTAGCCCCAGTGGATTCATGCTTTAAAATGACTGCCATGATTATGCACAATACCACCTATGTTATTTTAAACTTACTGGAGCCACATAAACAAAACGGCTTTAGAACAGCGCCTTCTCTTTTTTTGTCACTTAAAGAACATTCTAAAGCCTGTTTCATGTTTGGTAAAAAGAGAGGGTGGTAACAATTCCCCAGGCTGCACAGGCTGTGAAACCTACCAAACCCCAAACGGGCACTGCAGGAACCAGACCTAAGAGCAGCACTGGAGTTTGCAGTTCCATCCAGGCCCATCCCATGCTTTCATTGGAAAACCCAAGGCTTCCTCCAGTTTCCTAGAGGAGCAGGGAAAAGTGACAGTCCTGTAACAGAAAGGTCAAAATAGATGGAAAAAAGGCAAGCCAAAACATTATTACTTTCCAAAGGCTTAAAAGCTGCTCTCACAAGTTTGGGATGCCAGCTTGGTTCTTGAATACTGGGGCTGGGAGAGCACACAGAATGAATCATAGAATAGTTAGGGTTGGAAAGGACCTTAAAATCATCCAGTTCCAACCCCCCTGCCATGAACAGGGACACCTCCCACTAACCATGTCACCCAAGGCTTTGTTCAACCTGGCCGTGAACACCGCCATAATAATAGACTAATAGAATCATAGATGTTAAAATCAAAGTTCTTTTAAAAATGAGAGCAGGGAAAGTCCATTTCTAACCATTTTCCATGGAGAATAAAGCTATTGCTGTATTTATTATTTATTGCTGTATTGTTTTATCTGGTAGGTGATCTTCATAGTAGAAAATAGAAAAAGCACACAGGCATGTAGAGTATGTCTCAGCTCTGTACTGTAACGTCTGCCAGCAGCACACACATGGAGTCATTTTGGCTGAAATGTACTGGATTAGGTATGTTCCCTTACTTCCCCAGCTTTCCAGTGGTTTCCTCCTACCAGGAGACCCTTGGTTGTTAACTTCCACTAGGCCAGTGGGACTAGGATAACTGGTTTCTACTACCCATACACCTCTGCCTGAGCAAACACGGACTAAGGGAAGCTGTACAGCCTGAGCAGAGCCACGCTGACATGGAGCCCCTCATACCTTTTGCGACCTGTGCCTGAGCAAAGCTGGCATCTCTTCTGCTGCTTTAGCCTGTGTCGGGATCCCTTGCACGTTACACACCTTGTCTACAAGCACATGAAAGAGTTAAAACAGGCAAGGACTGCTCAAATTAAAACACATCAGGTTTATAAATCAAAAGCTTTTATGCGCATTAGCAAAATAATTGCTAAGTCAAGATTGCAGAGGAAGGTGTATGTCAAGTACACACATTGCAAAGGAAGAGTGTACCAAATAGCTCGTAAACTGTGACCCTGGATCAATCAGGTGTTCCAGTCAAACTCACTAGTGATGCAAATTAGACACAGTTTGGTTGAAATGCCTTTTTTTTCTTACACATGTGGGGTTTTATACATGTTGTTTATTCTCCTAGCTAGCAGTATACTTTTAAGTATTTCTATTTAATCAGATGAACTTTAAGTGGCAAATTTGTGCAATAACAATACATCTTTTGGCTGCCTTGGAATATCTGTGCAAAAGGAGAAATAAAGACAGGAGGCCAGATTTATGGCTGCACTCACATCCCTGGGTTAAGCCTCCTCTCTCATTCAGAAACCCCAAACACAGAAATGAGCACATCTGAAAGACAGCAAACCATTTTTCTTATCTCATGCCTAAGATCTGACCCAATTTCAACAGTGCAGAAGCAAATTCTCCTTCTCACCATCATAATATGTAGGCTATTGATTGAGGGCAGAGTAAGACATCTTTGCTACCTGGGCAGGGTTTTGACAGCCCCATTCAGCATCACTGCAGGACCTGGAAGCTTGATTTGAACATGAGCCACTTTGGGATACAGGGTGGCAAAGGGGGAATAAAACAGAATTTGCGCCATGTTTCCAGCCCTCATAATAAGACAGAATGTGTTGTGATTTTACAAATGAACCTGAGCTTAGAGGAATGGGAAATGCAGCCTGGCAGAAGGTTTTCCAGCTCCTTACCTGACCTGTCCCATGGCACACCCTGCACTTGGACCAGCCGTGACCATGGCATCTGTGACAGTCCTGAACTCAGAAGATTATTCATGCACAGAGCTTCCCGGGGACTTTGGGTATGTCATATTAAGCACAGGCACCCTTCCTGCATCTATATTCAGTGATAAAATTCTGCCCCGAATGGGAAAGAATCCAACATCATAAAATTGTGCTGTATGACCATTAAAGGAGTCATAAATAATAATTATTTAACAAAGGCAAATATCTGTGCAGTGCTGGCAAAAGAAAGTACTTTTTTTTGTTATTCATCATTTCACTTAAAAAGTAAAATAAATTGAGTGGCTATAGAGCTTGTCAAAAGCTAAATGGGATCTGTCATGGAAACTAATGTTCTCCTAATGTTGGGAAAAAAAAATAACAAAAGAGGAAAGATTATCCACTGCTGTTTCTCAAAAAGGCTGCAGCAAGATTTGTCCTCAAAGTTCGAGAGGAAGAAAACACCAGGAAGAAGGGATCTTGACTGTTTTCACTGGTGTTTAATGAGGAAAACCCAAAGAAAATGAGAACTGCAAAAGATGCCTGAGGAGCTGAGTATCATGGGGAAGGTCCCCCAGCCCCACAAGGCCATCAATGGGGAAGGGGCTCAACAAGCAGCTAACAAGAAGGGAAGACCCACTCTGACAAGTGCTGAGCGGGGCATTTGGCACCACCATGTCCGGCCCTGGAAGAGTGGAGGGTGCCCAACCTCCCCATCCCAAAGGTCCTTTGGGGCATCCCTGGGGGGGGTGCAGCTGCTCCGGGCTCTGCAGGAGGGGATGGCATCTTACCCATCTTGCTGGAGGTGGTGCATGGATGCTGGCCAGCTCCTGGCACTGCTGAGGACCCACAGACTGCATCCCCATGTGAGCATCACACCAGGTACTGACCCTACATGGTCCATGGCACCCTGTGGTGCTGAGCATCCTCCTGCCACCGGGACAGTCCCCATCACTCCCCAGCCCTCCCAGCAGAACCCCCAAGGCAATGCAGGCACCTCAGATTAGCTGTTACCCAAAATCCATGGCTGAGGCTCCCCCACACTCCTCAGCAGGCCCATAAAAAGCTTCACTGCGCACAGATGCCCATCTCAATCTTTGACTATACATGGCACTTGATAGGAAATTACTGGGAAGTAAGGGTCTCTGCTCCCAGGGTATGCCACAAAACCTCCCCTAGAATGAGAGAAGCAAATTAGGCTTATAAAGGCATTTTGCCCCAGCTTTGTGGGAGCTGCAGGGTCCAAATAGCCACAAGGGAGCAGATCCACCTGATGCATGTTAAACCAGGATCAAGTCACCTCCAGGAGCTACATGAGCCCTGGACAAAGAGCACTGCCACAGACCCCAGCTCCAATGTATAGGTCATAGAGCTATTCCAGTGGGATTTGGGGTAATCACTTACTGGTGAAGGGCTCAAACACCCACTCGCTTAACCTCGACTCACTGAATGTCTTCAGTCGATACTAGAAGAGAAAAATCACACTGACCAGAAAACGAACTTGTACAAAGTAGGCATTTAAATGTGAACTGTGATTCGCTAATGCCAGGTCTCAGGAGCATTCCTGGATTTTTCTAACAACTTGTGTAGAAAAAGCTAGCTGGAGCAAGCGCTGGCACAAAGGAATATCTGCTCTACAGTGCCTATTATAGGGCACTCCCAGCAACCTGTTCCTCAATGCTCTTGCATTTTCTCACCCAAGAAGCCCCAGAATAGGGCACAACAGCACACCCCTGGCCAGCTGGCCAAGCAGGACCCATAGCAAAGCCTAACACAGAACCCACCAGCTTGGTTTGTTGGGTCACCCCATGGACAGCCAGTCCTCAAACCAGGACCGACCCCAGAGCCAGCAAGCACCAAACCTGCAATAACTATCTTCAGAGAGAGGAATGAAACCAGGGAATCAAAGCCCACTTTTTCTGTGAAACGAAATGTTCACAACGGCTGGGATGTGGGGCTTTACAGGTCACTCTGCCTTTTCCCAAAATACCAAGCTGCAGGGTAGATTCCTGCAGTTTAGGTAAGGAAAGTGCTCTATTGCCAAAGCTGGGCTGTCGGAAAATGCTTCTAGGTGATGCTTTACTGTAGAGGAGGATGGACCTTTCAGCTATAAAAGCTGAATGTCAGCTCTTAAGTAGACTTCCCTTGGAAATCACTTGTATGCTTACATTTAAAGTAGGATGGAAGCTGTTTCATTTAATGAATGGATAGCTCCTCATGGCCTGATGCTACTGTTTGACTGAAAGATATCCCAGCCCCTCCCAAGAGCTGCCCAAGATGCTGGTTCTGGAGGTACTCACTCAGTAGGTGCCTGGCTGCCACAGGCACTGGAAGACCAGCTCCCCTGCCACCCTGTTCCCATAGCAGCACCGCAAGGACGTGAAGTACAGGAGGGCTCGCCTGGCCACCGCCTCTGTCATGGGGGGCATGCTGAGAGGCAACAGTGACAGGTTTGTATCTTAACTTACAAAGGGTTAGCAGGAAACATGCAGTGTATTTAACCTGGTACAAGAAAGGGAAGTGGAGCCCATGTGGGAGCACTCACCCCCTTACCCAATCACAGCTGGTGACTGTCTTATTGCAAAAAGAATAAGGGATTTGTATTCTAAAGCAAAGTCTTCATGCAATATCAGTCAGTATTAAAGGGTGGTCTAAAATAACCCTCGCCTTCAGCAGGCTGGGTAAAGGTTTGAAAGCTGGCTTGAAACATTGATCACTGTCCTGCAGCCATTTTTCCCCTCTCATTAAGGCTGAGAAACACAAAGCCACCAGATATCCAGTCTGAATCCTTTGTGTAGGTGAAGAAAACAAGCAGGAACAGACTCCCACCATCCTATCCTACTATGGACTAAATGTTGCTTTTTGAACTATGCTTTTTCCTCTTCCCCATGTACAAAGGAAAAAGGTGTGTTGTGTACTTGCTTTTGGCTTGGGTTTTTTAAAATCCAAGGTGAAAATCAGGAGACAAAAAAAGACAATAAGCAATAAGAGCATAAAGGACACAATAACTGACCCCTGGGAGAAGGACTAGCACAAAACCTGTGCGATACTCATATTCTAAACAAAGCTTTAAGAGTTTGGGCCCCATCTCTGAGGAGGATGCTGCCAGCACTGTTGGTGCCAAGGGGTCTGTGTCTGCCCTGGACATGCTAGAGGCCAATGATGAGTGTGGTGAGGACATCCTTTTTGCCATGTCTGAGGTCCTGGGAGCCCTGCCAGCTCGGGATGCTGATGCAGGGGATCACCTCCCAGCCTAGGGCTGTGCTGAGCTGCATTCAAAAGAAGTGCATAAAACACACGCTCCCAAGAGCTGCTTGCCGGTGCTGCACAAAGGGGTGCCCCCTCCTCTGCTTCCCGCACTCACCCATCAACTCCAGAGGTGGTGACAGGGGCTCTGATCCTATAGGAAAGGGCAACTGAGGAATTCAAGCCCAGTTTAAACCCAGGGCAGGTTTTGCTCACAGCTGCAGAAAGATTCAGCTGTAGCACCTAAAGCCAGTCCCAGGTGAGCATTTTGCTTCACTCCAAACATCCCACACAACCCAGCCAGAAGCTGCTGCCTGTTCAGCCCACCCCAGTGCCATTTCCTCAAAGCACTGGGACAGCTCCCAGGTGAGTGGGCAGTGCCTGTGTCCACAGCACTGGCTCCATTACCTTGCTCAAGGAAGCATAGCAGTCCCAGCTCCCTGCTTGGCTGAGGTCTTGATGACTTTCCAAGCAGGGAGAAGCACAGCCAGATATCAAAGGTAATTACTTCCCAAACCATACCTGCCTGCAAAAGGAGCAGGCCACAAACTGCAGCACGGGAGGTAAAAGTGATCTGTGAGCTAGCAGGCACATGCCCATTGCAGTAGCTGTAGAGTACAAGAGGGAGGGCTTCATGGAATTGCCCACCTTGGGATAGGCAGCTGCTGGTGTTTCCCTGCTGCCAGAAAAGTTAACAGAGTGCGAACTGTCAGAGAGACAAAATCAGTGCCACGCATATACCTGTGTGATCCACTCACAGCCATCCAGCTGCTCCTGGGGTGCAAAAGGCACCAGGAGACATCCCGGCTTTGGGTCCCGGTCACCTACAGCACACAGAAATATTAGTGAGGGAGCCTGGAGGTCAGACAGTGCACGCAGAGACCAAACAGATATCACAGGCCAAGAGGCAGGCAGAGGATTTGCTGTCCTTTCCCAGTGCCTCGCTTTCCAGGAGCTCAGTCCTTGTGCTGAAGTGGAGCAACACTGACACCCTGTGTAGGTGCCAAAGCCCTGCAGGTCCCCAGCTGCCTCTGCTGCCGGGAGAGCCGAGGACCGGGCGTTACAAGCCCGGAGGCGAGGAGCCCGCAGCCTGGGGCACGATCCGCACCCCTTGGCAGGGAGCAGGCAAGAGCTGCCAGGATGGACACCCATAGCAGATGGGTTAAGCACACGGGCAGGAGAAAGGCACCAGGAACTTTCCAAAGACCCAGAGACGCTCTCTGGTCAGTTGAAGAGCTCAAAGTTGTACACGTTTACATCTTTACTGGGACACAAATGTAGATAAGAAGGCCAGCATCACTTGGCTGCCTTTGACACGCCAGTCCTTAGATTGATCAACAACGACTCTGCTCTTTAAGCTCACTGCCTTGTTCTAAAAGTTTCCAACTTATTTTAACTCAGCTCGTGGGACAGCAGTTGTTTGTTTCCTTAGGTACCACTCTAAAAATACCCACTGGTAGCAACTGGTCCTCCTGATGCCCAACACAGAAACCATTCTTTTTATTAAGCCTTTTATCCAGTGACCTTTTCTATTGCAGCAGCTGATGACAAAAATTCAGTCCATGCAAGGAAAGAGTGCACAGAGGAGCCAGGAAATGCCAGCCTGGCAGCAACATGCAGTCTCACAGGCATGGAGAGGCTGAGGGTAGTCATCCATCAATTTGATTTACTAGACTTCTCTGCTGGGAGCATGCTGCTTTCTTCCAGGAAGCAAAATTCATCTCTCCATTATTTCTTCCTATGAAAATAGGAAACTACAATGCTTTGTTTGAAATGTCACATCCCTCACACAAAAGACCAGGGTGTCCTTGAGCCAAAGGAGCACAGGTTTCCAAGTAATGGCGAATCATAAGCACTACAGAGAACATAGCCATGAAAAATAAATCCATAAGATGCCTTCAGTATGATTATCTCTGTCATGTCTAGACCAAACAGAAACATCTTCAAGGATCTCAATCAATTTTGGATTCACTTGCCAACTAGCTCGCAATGCAAGTCTGCTGGAGCTTGAGTCATGATAAAACTACAGCTTCCTTTTCCATGCCACAGGGTGGGAAACCACACTGGAGTGGTGACTTTAATTCCCTCTATTTTGCTGGTGGTTAGTTTTGGTGTTTTGATACGCCTGTATACAATTGTGTACTCATGAGGGAAAGGACACAACTGTGATTGAAAATAGTGTGAACTTCCCACTCAGAATTTACAGCATTTACAAACCTTTAAGGACAGAAAGGACTCTGCACCTGCGGAGTGAGGTCTCCTATTTTTTCAGTTCACCAAGACTCACACAGCCCTCTTCAGGTCGGCAAGGGCCCTGCTAGGCACACATCTAGTCTAGGTCATGCTTTGCCAAGGTTTGACCGGATGATCCTCAAGGTCCTTTCCAACCTGGTATTCTATGAGTCTATGATTTCCAATTCAAAGTATAATGGACTTATGTACACATTATCAAGAAAACCTGAATGTCTCTTTTTAATGTGCAAATGCTAAACAAAAACCTGTTTAAAACAAAACACGGAGATAAAAGTACCAAATTCCAGTCCAATAGAAATGGTTTAAATGACCAGGTTAAAAATATCCCGAATCCAGAGTAAATATATCAACTGCACATTTGTTGCTA